CTGCTGCGGCCACCACCACCACCACCACCACGACTACCACTACCGCCACCACTGCCGAGCAGCAAGGTTCGTTAATGACCCTTTATTGCTTTGGCCGAAAGTCCCTTCAAGCAGTGCCCTCCAAAACGGCTGCACAGTACTGAACGGCATACTGGATACTGATACAGCGACGACGGCGGCGGCGAGTACCGACGACGGTCTCTCGGAATCTCAGGTCAGCCGATTCGATTCCAAGTCTTCACGTCGGAGATGGGCAGATATTGTCAACGACTCTGATGATGACGACCCCTGGAATGTCAATACGAGTGTGCTGCTTGTCGCCAATTCGTATTTTCTACTTAGGTATAGTCGATCTGTGTAGCTCATGCGGGCTTGGACAACAATTTCCCTACTCCATCATCCATCAGGGGAGCCACGGCCAGCTCCTGCAGCTCACCGGTGCCGAGCAGCCAGGAGCCGCAACTGGGCACGGCTCAGAGGTTTTGGGGTCCTCTTTTGAGATTCAGTGAGGCTTGGCCATTCAGGCAGCTCCCGGACATGAATGTGAGGTCGTCCGCGCAACCAATGTGCACCACGAGCGCCGACACGGCGGCTCCCGGATGTTGCTCGCACTGCACGCAGAGGAGTATTCTGCAGCTTGCCACCAGAGCACAGTACAGCCAAAAGAGTGTTCAAACAATGTCAGCTAGTCCGGTTGGTCGCCGGACGATGAATCGATGTACCTAATACCCTGTCAGCGAGGTTTCAGCATCTCCATGCTTGCTAGGGGTGCCAAGGTTCGGAAGAGCCTGCCACCGAAGACAACACTGAAAGCACAGAGGAAGTGCTGGAGCCTCTGCACGAGGAAATGGAAACTTCGCCAGCTCCGAAGCTGGAGCCCGCATCCAGTGAAGGGAAGCAAGCAAAGCCAAGCTGTGAAGACCAGATCACCTCCATCAAAGACTGCGCGACAGACTTCCCTTGTTTCGAGATGGATTGCTCGCAGGACCTCGCTCTGTGCCCTTTAGCCTCTGTAAGCGTTTGCAGCAGCCGCCATGGGAAGCTGGGGCAGTTGCAAGCACGCACGGGAGATTCTGAAAGGCATAGAACGGTTCAGGTAGACGTGATGGTATGCCGTGTAAAACTCGGCCGGCTTTCGACCTCGCGTGGAGCATGGAGGGCGGCAGAATCGAGGCGATGTGGTGGGCAGCACACGAACGGAAGCTCCCTCACGTCAGGCATCGAATCGAGTCACCCTCGACCATGACCTTCGACCTCTCCATTATTCTAGAGTCTAAATCTAGACACTGGCAAGTTGTTATGATGGAGCTGGTGGTGCTTGATGATGTCATGGGCCCTCGGGAATTCGGGAGGACTCTGTGGCACTCTCCACGGTGGCGGACAGCATCGACTGTTTGAGCTCGATTGCGGATTGCCCGGAGGCACCTGAGGGGGGGGGGGGGCGGAAAGCACCATGACCAGTGTCAGACGTTTGTTAAGGTGGAATGTCTCTTTACTTGATGCTGGTAGCACGATCGCGGATCGAAGGCGGACATCACCGACTCTTTGCCAGACGTCGTCGGAGAAGCAGCCAGCCTTGGAGGTCTTGGCAGCGCTGCGCCATGGCTTCATTGACGAATTCGTGGGAAGCTGCTTGTGCTTTGGTGCATGGTCCGTTGCATTGCCAAGGTCAAGAAGAGGAAAAAGAAGCCAGCAAAAAAGAAGAAGACGGAGGTTGTAGAACTGAGCAGGACTTGAAACGACCCTGCTGCACCCTGCTCACGACTCCCAGACTGGTCAGGACTTCATCCGTCGTCAGCGAAGCTCCCTCCCGTCGCCGCCAGACTGCAGTGTCAAGGTTTGTGCTTGAAGCCCTGAAGTCCCCACACACACTCACACTGCACAGAAAGTCCGCTCTCACTGCTCTCGCCCAGGGAGCTCCCGAAGCGCACCCTCCGAGACTTCCAGCACGACCAGCGCCGCAGGCAGAGAAAGTTGCATCGGAAAAGTATCACGCAATGCTGTCATCATTCGGTCCATGAGTGGCTGCACACGAATGGAGGCAAGCGCTCTGCATCCAAGTCGCAGTCCAGCAAGAGGCCACCTGCGACGGCGGAGGGCAGTCTTTGCTTGAGTTGAGAATCGTAAGTGAGAACATTCATGCCTCCTCGGGAGATTGGACAGGCCTGACACGTCTCAGCAGCAGGGCGCCTCTCCGTCGGCAAAGTCACTTGTCAAGATGAGCTTCCTGTTTCGGATGTCCGCCGCGCAATAGCAGCCGACAGCGGAACAAATGTCGAAATCTGGGGCACCCTGAAGTTGAGACAAAATCCATGCCGTGTGTTCGACATATCTTTAGACCCGTAACACCTTGTTTCAACTGACCCTCAGGCACGTATCGCAGTTTCAAGCCGGGTTGGCTAGCTGCGCATCCGCAATTTGTGACAACCCTCGGTGGGCGATCCTGATGCTATTGGCCGCAGTGGTGCCTTTGCAGAATTTCTAGCTTCCAGAAGATGGCAAGGGCGAGAGCCATTGGCGAGCTCAACTTTCAGCTCCAAGGTTTTTGGTGGAAAATGCTGGCTCCGGATCCACGGTGTCGGGGTGCCTTGCTCGAAAAGTGTTCCTGTAGCTCGCGGCTCGTCGTAACATGCTTGCAGCAGCCGACTCAGGATGCGGAAGATACCCGCATCAGGCGAATGTACTGATCTGGCGTGAAAATGGTGCCAATCAGTGATCACTGTGGAACGGACAGCACTATTTCACTATGCAGCGCAAACACGTAAAGATACTTCGCCGACAAACGTGCTGCTCGGTGCCACCATGCGCACAGCAAGCGCCAGCTTTCGTTGCAATGCTATCTACTGACTCGACGGTATGCTACGGCATGCTTGGCATAGTTGTGTCAGGATGCATGCTCTTTAGTCCAACAAGGACTCTTGGACGTGCCATGCAAGTTTGGCACGGTGCAAACGAAGATTTAGCACAGAGGGGTGCTGCCAGAAGCGACAGACATGCAAGCACTGATGTTGGAAGATGCCGACTTTTCGAGTGGACCAGTGCCACGAAAGATGCAAAGTACACACAGAGACACAGAGAAGACAGCAGTCTCTCGGGGCCGGCTTGGCTTCCCCAGAACGTCCTCGGCAGTCTTCCGACTTCCACTGGATTGCTTGCCATGTGCTTCGTTCAACTGCCTGTGAAGGAGGAAAAGAGGCTCAGAGAGACCCGGGCGCGGGTAGTACTCCTGGTATAGCTGACTGCAGCTACTTGAAAAAAGATGGTCCTGCCCAAGTCGGGCAGATGAATGAAAATAGGCAAGATTTGACAGGCTTTCGGCGCCGTACTGTTCCTTTTCGCGAAGTGGGCATCGATCATGCTGTGGATCCGAGGCTGATGAAGCTGCAAAGCTGGATATGTAGGGGTATGAAGGATCATGCCTGCTTGCCACAGTTTGTGATTCACTCGGTGTTGCAGCCTTGAAGCGCCAACTACGGCCACAAGATGCCTCGAACCGTTTCAACTAAGCCAAAGTACTTGCTACATGCACACACCATCGTTTTTGGAGCTCATCTTCTTGTGGGGTCGCAGCTGTTTGCTTGCGGTGGCTGACTTTGGCTGGCATGCCGAGCAGTTCCGCAGTTCTGTCCTTCCCTCACCAGACTTGAACGCACCATGGCTGGCGCTGGACGACCAGATTCTCACGCTAAACACGTACCAGCTTCCAACGACGGCCTTGTGCGAAGTCAAGCTCTGGCTAGGCCACAAGTAGAGCCTGCGTTTTGAGCTGAAACGGGAGCACGAGCAACATGAGCCGTTAGTGCAAAGCGGTCGTTCAAGTCGTTTGGAGCTCCAAGAGTTCTGTTAAGGGTTTGAAGGAAGTAAGGAAGGCGTCTGCAGTCGTTCAATTTGGCTCCTGTGCTAGAGGCACACCAGCACAAAACGCAGAGATTGGGGAATAGTGTGCCCAGCGCTGCACAATTTCAATGAAGGCGGCATCAAACTTGCTGTGCACTTGTAAGTTTTGTATCTGGCTTGCACAGACTTGGACATACTTGGACCAGAAATATCATGGAGCTTTCAGCACCTTTCAGGCCAGAGCTGTAACTGAGAGGTCGAAAGGACGTAAATGTTTTGGGTGTTCCTGAGAGTCCTTCTCCGACTACCTGGGAGGGACCTGGGAGACCCCAGCTGATGGTCGATGGAACGTTCAAAAAGGAGTATACATCTGGTTGTCGAGGACTTTCAACCTCACTGATGTACAGATATCCGATGCGCGAGCCTCGTGCAGCAGCTTCGTCGCGACATGGCGCCAGCTGCGTGGATGCATGCTGGATACCTGAGTAGTGGTTGAGGCGTGGCTGTGAAAGTATGTACATCCTGCGTGCATGCAAAGCTGTCGCACTGTTCTCGGCTGGACCGGCAAAGCTCAGCTTGCAGTCGGCCGCTTGCATTTGCGAAGCTGCGAAGACTGAGGCTCAGCAGGCTACCAGAGCCTTGCTTCAGAACGTAATCGGTTGCCGGGTCCAGCCCGACAACGCGTCCTGCTTGGACCAGACTGCACCATGTTCTATTCTTGATGGCAAAAATGGCGACAGGGCAAGCGCTGCGAATTCGAAAAGTGTGCAAGCTCAGATAAGCTAAGTCGCTGGTCCCAGACGCCCGCAGGACGATGTTCGTGAAGGAGGGGAAAGGGATCACAAGCGTTCAGATGGCCCGGCACTCAGACAAAGCTCTGAGAGGAGCAGTGAAGGAACCGTGTGACAGTGTGAAAGCCTTTCGACCATGTCAGGAACAGTTGGCGCGACTGGCAGCGGGTGATGATGCTGCAGCTCGAGGCCTTGAATTGCTCAGGCCCTGTCTGTTAAACACAAACCTGAAAGGCACGGGCACAACCGGCTGCCGTTCCGGATGCCTCTTGATGTAGCTGAGCCGAGATCGGCAGCACCCGTTCTTTCAATAAGATGTTGACGATGTGTCTGCCTTTGCTGTGCTCGTCGAAGACTTAGATCTTGCTAGATCGACAGCAGGTAGATGATGAAGATTGGCAGGTCAACGGAAATCTGCGTTGACCTGCGAACGTGCCAGATGTGCGACAAATCTGTCCTGCACGTCTCACCCGCAGTCGAAAGCAGGATCAGCAAAGCACTGCTGAAGCATCAATTTAGAAGTTTAGATGTGGCCCTTCTCACGTGATTTCACTGTCGGGCTTCGAGGGATTATCTTAAGGGAATTCTATCTGCCCTACATGGTTTTGAACTTTGGCGCGAGGCAGCCGGGTTGGACAAGCCTTGGCCTTGAGGCGACCGGTGTGTGATTCTGCAAGCATCATGGTGCATGTGGTGCATCGCGAGGCCATGCGCAATGCAACCAAGGTCAGCACCCCAGATTGTCCAAATGCGCCATGAAGCCCTGGAGACGCAGACAAGCAGAATGTTCTTGAGGCTCTAAAGTTAAAGTGCTTCCCCTGTCAAGGTGGTCCTGGAATCCATCCAGGCGTAGAGTACCGAAAGAGTCACGTAGCTGGTCTGAAGACCGTTTGTCGACCGGGGAAGCAGGTCTCCCGCCACCTGGTTCAACTCGGCCAGGCACCCAAAAGCTGTTTTCACACCCCCGCACCCAACATCAGTTTGACTATCGATGCATGTCGCTTTCTCTGAGGCATCAGACCTTTAGACCGGCTAGCATCAAAGGCACCGACCGGCATGTCACCGCAGCAGCAAATCAGTCTTATTCGTCATTGCAGCCTGCGAAGCATGATAGAAGTGGCCGCAGGGAGCAAAGGCGGCGGAGGAGCTTGGGCTTTGGGCGCTGAAGCTGCCTCCTGTCGAGGCAAGGCCACGTTTAGGGCAGACAGGTGGGCGATGCTGAGAGAGAGAGAGGCAAGGACAGGGAGGCTGAGAGAGACAGAAAAGCGGGGCGTGATCGGACGCCTATGCCTTAGAGAAAGACAGAGAGAGACAGACAGCCTTCAGGTGGAGCGCTACGTCCCCTGGCTGTGCTGAGGAACAGAGTGACAGAGACAGAGACAGAGAGAGGGATACGGCTGTGCAGGAAGCTTCCCCCGTCTGCAGGCGGTGCCGACAAGGACCCTCGTTTCATGGCGGCCATACAAGACAGGACCCTGGATGCATCCTACATGGGTTCACCGGAACTACACGGAAGGAAATCGCGGATTTCCTGAAGCAAAAGGAGATCCAGGCTGCAGTCC